ATAGTCCTTTATTACAATATACCTATACGAACGTTTTAAATTTAGTTCAAGTTTGCATATTATATAGTAAATATTATTATAAATAATATTTTCTGTTGAACAACCGGAAGCAATATATAACTCGAATCAAACGAACCATAATATATACCTTATGTGTATTCCTCTACAGCAGTGGTTCTTAACCTTTTCAGATTCACTGAACAATTATAATGTTTGCGGATCAGCGGATCACAGTGGTAAAATGAAACAGTAGGTACTTATATATATACATTTAAAATTGCACATACGTAACTGTTTACATATAACTCAATAAAAAATAAAATAGTTGTATAATAGTAAGTAACCTACAAGTAAGAAACTATGAAACTTCAATTCCTTGTTCATTATAAACGTTTTTCATTTTTTATTGCAGTTAAAATATGGTTTTTAAATTTAGATGGAATCATTTTTTCGGGTTCACGGAACACCGTTTGAGAACCACTGCCCTACAGAGTGCAGGGCCACAGCGTTTTTCCTGTGTTGGCCCGTGGTCAGCCCTGTGGATTACGATCGGTGTTTAACTCGCTTATGGCGCAGGGGCTATTACGTTTGATTGAAAAAAAATAATAATAATATGGTGTATAATCTGTATAATATAAGTCTTCGGGGGCTCGAAACCCCACGGAAGTGAGATTAATAATTGTATTATATTTTCAAAGTTTAATAATTTTATTAAATTCAAAGTTTAGTAATTTGTTGGCGTATAATATAAATGCTGGCGCACAGTGTAGTGGATTTATGCGTTGTATATAGTAGAAGACGAAAAAAAAGAAAAACGAACGGTTAACTTTCGTTTTCCAGCACTTTGTTGGCATTACGGAAATCCTATTACAGTTAATCATGGCTGTGGACGAGTATGAAAGTTTTATATACTCGCTACGAGAGAAAGAGTAAAAATTTGCAATCTTCTCAGATATTGATTTTGAAACGCCTAAGACATTTAAATTGCCATACCGTATAGTAATTGGTAAACTATTATAGTGTTATATAGGTATTATGCATATTATATGCTGAGTGGAGACGTTAAATCCACGTGGATCATAATACTGTATACCTATATTATTTACGAGTATATATTATATCTACAACATAATTACAATATAATACCTGTAGTGTATATTATAAAATCGTTTAAACAACCGAAAGTGTTTTTTTTACAGATCGATTATTTAGTGACAAAATGGAAAAAAAAATTATTTTTTTACCTTCATCAGCTTTTTTTTTTATTAAATTACACTTAAAACAATAATAATTAAAATATACCTATACAAATAAATTAACCACCGTGACATTTTATACATTCAATTTTTATTTATTACACATACATACATGACATCTATAATTCTCCATCTTATTACGCATAGTGTGAATTTCGTAGAGCATATATCACAATAATATATAATATAAAAAATAGTTTGTTGCATTATTCAATAATATTATTTCGTCTGTGAAATCATGACATGTTACGGTCTACAGCGGCTACAAGCCTACATAGTACCTACATAGGCGGCATAAAGATTGTGACCTGTTTAGTATTCAACGATTGTAACTATATTTTAAGACTGCTAAAAGAAGAAAACGGATAGGTATAATATCAAATATCAAGTGGTGAGGCTACTTATTGTATTTTGTTGGGAAAGCGTAAAAGAAAAATATTCAAGTGCACATAAGTAAAATTAAAGCTCGATTAATATTATATAGATAGCACACGAAAATTGGTTTTTTTTAAACACTCAATTTTCTAGGTCAGGTTTATGCATTAAAAAAAATACAATCAATACATGTATCTACGAATATGAATACGTTATATATGTTGTATATTCGTCTGAAATTATTGTCTTATCCAAATCAAAATTCAAATAAGGAATTTTTGAGTTAGGTATTTAACTTTGTGATTTAATGCTAATAGATTGATAGTGGGTTTGGGAGATATGGGGGGTATGACAATTTGAACATTTTAATTAATCTATCAATATAGGTAATTGTTATAATTTGTAAAAATGGTCCAAGCATAAGCATAATTAATACTAGATCCAATATTAGGTACATCTATTTTATATTTTTTTTAAATAATTTTTAATAGGTACCTACTATCTTTAGTATAAACATTTTAACATATACGTTTTTGAAAAAGTAAGGCCGGGCGCCGACTATAAATTTAGCGGGGAACGCGAATGAGATCCAAACGGGGAGGTCGATACGCCCTAAAACGCCTAAAACTCGAATTTTCGAAAAAAAACGGCAAAAAACGCGCGCGACGTCGACGCTCGTATCGCACGCGACATCCGCCGCCGCGGGCCCGCCGGGCCAAAAGTAGGGACGCGCGCCGACTATAAATTTACCTAGGAACGCGAATAAGGTCCGAACGGGGCCGCCCGAGGCCTCCGAGGGGGGTAAAACTCGAAAATTTTGAAAAAAAATCGTGAAAAACGGTAAAAACCGCGAAAAGCGATAAGGAGGAGTGATAACGCAGCGACGGCTGCGCCGCCACGATTTCCCGCCATTCGTTCCTTTGTTCACTAAACAGTTCAGATATAACACATAGGGGGCGCCCATCGTAACTTCATTTTTTGTTACCTATTGGGCCTTAATGAGAAAAACTTGTGTGAAAGTAATAATTACTAATTACTTGAATAATTAGTTTCAATAAAAAAATAAAATTAACAATTGATCATAGAGTAATAATTACTCCATGTTATAGGTACAATTTTTTTTTATTTATTATATTTTATTCACGAGGACGTTTTTTTTCGGGGATATTTTTTCCGTTTACCGTCCAAACACTCCAACCAACCCGTTGCAATCGGTGCGTTATTTTTCTCGCCGGTTAAACAAATTTCGAGATCACGCACCACCTAGTACCTTCGATGCATCGAGACAAGAAATGAATACGGTGCTCCGATTGGCTCCCGCATAAATCAGTGTGACCACATATGCTAACACTTGGATATTATCGGGCATCCCTATTCCCCCTCCCTTTATTTTTTCGTTTATTCATTGAGAAACGAGTCACGAAATGGTGGCATAGCCTGTTGTAAACACGAGACTGTAGAGCCGGAGCCTTGGTTTGGTCAAGACGTCTGTTAAATTCGGTCCTCAGACTGTCTGTTCTGACATTTGAATACTTCTCGTTCTCGAAATGTACAGCCAGTTACGATCTACGAAGTCGTTCATTTATTGTAAGTATTTAAAATAATAAATATAATAATATTGTAACGCCTATGATATTTATAAATACTTTATAGTAGATACCTACATTGAATTCTCATTTCCATTGGTCGGGAGTAGTGCGCTAACCTTAGTGTCGCTACAATACACCTAATTACCTAATGTACAATGTTTGGAATAGATCACTAATAATTTATTTAAGTCCTACTCATGTCGTAGTACCTCCGCAGGGAGGCCTCTACACTCCGTCTAATCTGCCTTTTTATTTTTAACCTAAACCATCAATTGTTCTTATTGTTGTTCTTTTTTTGCAACAGATTGAATAAAAACATATGAATCAAAGAAAAATAAATAAATAATTTATTAGATAAAGATAAATGTAACAGTACTAAATTGTATCTAGATAAAATTAGAGATAATTATACTAAATTTTATCTAGATATAAGCTAAAAATTAATACATTTTTGTCTAGATAAATTTCTGATAATTTCATGTTTAATTTTGCAAATATTCAGTGATATAAGTATTCATTTTTAAAAAAAATACATAATATAAAAATTCATTCTCTGACTTAATTTAATAATAATGAAAATAAGCTATTAGCTAACGTTTAAAAAAATAATAATATTAAATGCTTTTAAAATGATAATAATATTCAAACCATGTTTTATCTACAACATAAAATTATTTTAAAAGTTCTATCATTTAACCTATTACGCCTAGGTGTTAAAACTTGTATTGCCTTACTAATGCTGAGGATGGAATTGTAGAAATATATTTTAGGAATACCTCTATTAATTACTCAGTCTGGCCCTTGACTGGTGGCTGTAAAATTATATTGTCTTCAGTTTTGGCATGCTGATACAGTATCAGTAAATAAGTAAATTGGTCTCTGCATTTTCCTTAGATTTGATTTTGAGCTAATATTTTATTCTAAATACTTTTAAAGTTTTAACTTTTGTCAACAGAATTCCTATACTTTAAATATGCCACGCAAAAAAAAAAAGATTCGAGCACCAGTCGACGAACCAAAAGAAAAGTTATTTTGTCCCCGCACGATGGTAAGGTATGACGGATCACATAGCGATTACCCAACAAAATGGATATGCAAGATGTGCCTGAAGGTCATCTTAAGTGAGGAAGCCGTCAAAAACCACTTGATCAAGTGTAGCATCCAATGCAACAGAGCAATGCCTCCCCCACAAATGAAAAAGTAATAGTTCAGTCATATTTTTTTATTAATTATTATCATACATAATGTAAAAAATTAATTTATTTTTATTTTGTTTAGAAATGAAGTGACGCAATACATATGTGGGTATTGTGAAAAGGTATTTCAAAGGCGTGTTGCCTTAAAAAAACACATAGAGTCCCACGAAAACTCGTCCAGTAGTCTGGAATCCGAAGAATCAGATATCGAAATGGAAGATGGTTCTGCAATAACAGAACAAAGAAAAGAAGATGACAAAAAACCTGAGGAGCAGTCCATTTAATAGCATTTGATTTATTAGTATTTTTTTAAATTTTATATTAGATAATATTTTTTTTTTTTGATAAGCCCTTTCAGCCTGCATTTGTTCAATTCTGAATAATTCATAGTAATTTGTGAATTATGTCTGTATATATTTAACTTTGAATTATGTTATGAATTGATTCAATTATTTTAAATTTTATTTTTTTTATACATTTCATTTCTGCAACCATATGTTACTCAGCATAATAATATAATTTGATTTTTATTACATAATTATTTATTTAATCCATTAATACTATTAATTACTATTGAAATGGTGTCATAGACAACAATGATAATTACAAAAGTAATACTTGAAAGTACCGTCAATAAACACAGTTTTCATTTGACGCAATACTTCCAAATTGGTATCACATGTAAATCCAATTATATTGGTTTCTGCGCTGTTAATAAATAAAAACTGTTCTCCCCGATTAGTCATTAAATTATAATTATTTAATATGTTATGAGTCTCGATCAATGTTTTGGGCAACGTTGGTATTGTACTGCACCGACGTGCTGGTCGTTCATGTAATGCTTCTTGAGCTTTTCGTTTCGAACTGTTGCTTAATTTTTGTCTGTTAATTTTTATCAGGGCATTTTTCATGGTTATGTATAATACTTTTATCAACAATTATATTTAAATTATTTATTTTTAATTACGACTTACATGTTCTTTGTACATATGTCCAACGGTCAATGTCGTCTGCCAATTTTTTTTTGAAATCCAAACTTATAACCTTCTAATACTATAAGTTTTTTATTTTTTTCACTATACATAAATTCCATATTTGCACTAATTTAACACTCTACGTAAACTCAACGGTTATTGTGAAATTGCGATGTGTTACTGAATGTCGTACCGACTAACGAGTAATGACTATCCGTCCATATCGATAATATAACAACGTTTTTATCACGGATTTTATCTTAATGACTATCTGTTCATATTATGTACTTATAATGATGGGAAATATATGTTATAATAATATTAAATATTTTATTTATATTATTTTGTATTTTGCTTTTTCGTAAGTCTGTATCGGGAACCAATTCGGACGTGTGCCGCCTACCTATAATATCGGGAACCAATTCGGATGTCAATTTTCAGGTATTGGAACCAATTCGGATGCAGCCGAATTTATTAGATTTTAAGTTTCCGGTTAAATTTGTTCCAGTGACTAACAATATAATACAATTAGGTAGTCCTAAAAGTATTGTGACGAACATCTATTGCAATATATTAACAAACAATAATAATTACAGACGCAGCACTCGGACCAGACACATGCATCACCACACAAATTCTTACATTCTTACACAAAACTAAACTGTATACAGTTATATATAATAAAATTCAAAACAAAATTGTAATTTTAAATTGTAACTAACGACCATTGTAGCTGATGTTAATTAAGAACAATAAAAATAATAATAATAATAATAATTACGCATTGGCTAATAATAATATAAAATTGATTAAGCTAAAATTAGTTTGAGTTAAGTACAATAGGTACTAAAGTTTTAAGCTAAGTGATATTTACAAAGAAAAATAAAACATTTTAACAAATTAAAATGTCATTAAAAATAATTAGGTATACCTAATGGTTTATTTTTTTCTATCATAATTTTTTTCTTATTTATAAGTATATTTTTAAAAGTCTAGGATTTTTAAAAGTGACAAATAAATATATATTGTTAAAATTATAAATATAAATATTATGTTGCCTACATATTTGGTTATCAGCATATATGGAGCTATAGTTAGTCCAAGCTGTTTATGTTTGTTGGTACACAAATATTGATATATTTTGTATACCTATAACGGGTATTCGCTAGGAGTGATTCACCTTGGCTAAATTACACTTAAACCTGTATAAAATTAATAGAATAGTTCTAATAATTTATATGAATGCGTGGTGCATTATATTATGAGTTCTAAATGAACAGAATTATTGTTTACGTCATTGTAATACGTGGGCTTCAATAATAGAAATTAAATTAGCCTATTTAGAGTCCATATTTTTAGCTCAAAAATATGTGAATCATAATATTGACCCCAACATATTATACATTCATACTTATGTCATAAGTGTGAACAATTTACGTACCTATCGTGTTTTACCTGTATATGTGCAAAAAGATTTGAAAATTTAAAACAAGGTTCCCCTAAGTCATAACTTATAACTCAAAACTCACATAATATAAGTATTAAGTAACCTATAAAAATCTCTTACATTGTATTTCAGTATTTCACATTTTAACAAAAATTGATTATTTAAACATTAAACGAAAATAACAATTTTAGTTAAAAAAAAAATGTTCTTATGGACTTGAAACTTTTCTTCGATGTGTAATTATTATTTACTATACCTACTTACATAAATAATGACATTTTATTATATTTATACCACTAATTTATTCACACCGTTATACGGTAGGTATATACCTCTATCTAGATACCAGCTATATCTGTATTGACTTATAAAAGTTATTAACAATAGCAAGTAATATTATATGATATAATATAATTCCTATTAATTATTAAATATTATATTAGTATTATTATATTATATTACCTATATGCGATTAATTGTTTTTGGTAAAAATTAATTTAATCTTTTATACCAATTGAAATATAAATTACTAATATAGCAATATACATTTATGAGAAACACTAAGAAATAAAGGCTGACATTCTCCGCTTAGAACCATTTACAGAATTCAATAATAATGCTTTATCATACAATGAATAAATAAATAAATATAATTCAAATTTCGTACATAAGGTAGCCAGGTATGTACTTTAGTCACCTGATCAATGGCGAGTACACTTGACAGTAACATAATATTATCTACAAGTTACAACCTTGAAATAACGTAAATATATAAATAAAGTACCTATTATTATTTTGTTCTATATGTTCTGGTGGCTATATAATAATAATATCTAGTTATTGACTTTATTTGTTACAACAATCAACTATATAGGCTTAAAATATGTTCATTTTTTTTTTTTTATTAATAAAAAAATTACCCTCAGTCTGCACATAGGCCATTGGGATACAGAGATTATTTAATGAAGTTTATTATTACAGTTTGTTTTGAAGTTTTGATTTTATTATGAATTCGATGGTGGCTGCTAGTGAAGATCTGTTGTATCCGAGTGATTCTGAGAGGTGTTCCGGAAGTTTTGAGGACAATCTTGATTCGATGTATGTTCGACATTCCGTCATTATGTGTTTGATTGTAAAATGTGTTCATATACCTAATGGCTAATGCCAAGTTAGATAGGTATCATCACAGTATTTTGATACGCATCCTCCGATCTTTACTTCGCCTATATCGTAGTTCTCCACTACTTATTGGCTGTCAATCATATACATACATATATAACATAGAACAAAATCAACCAATGAGAAATGGAGAACTACGATATAGGCCGGAGGTGAAGGAGATGCGTATCTACTGCGCAAAACTAGTACAACTGTGAGGATACCTATCTAATTTGTCATGGTTCATATTAAGCAATGAAGCCTAATAATAAACGAGATTTCAAGTTATTTTGAATTTGAATTTTTACAAACGTAATACTTTTCACTTTTTAGATTACCTATTCGTATTTCAAATGCATTATACATTAATTTAATTTTAATAGTTTAGCTACCTGTCAGTTATATACTTATATAATATAATAATATACCTATGTATTAATACATATTATATTATGATCTATAATGTTTTTATTTTAAAAACAATTAGGTCATAACATTATAAAAACTTGATTTGAATTAAACATTTTTAATTTTACTTTTATTATGGTGACAAATGTAGGTATATTTTTGTTGATTTTATGTACACACTACGCAACAGGTAATTTCGGTAAAAATAATTTTTTTCAATCATTGATTTATCAATATAAGACCTACATGATAACCATTTGAAAATATCTAGACACGCGGTAGCGTGTCAAGCCAAGTTCTAGCTAACAGAACTGACGAGCAGCACCGTGTGTAATATTACACGAACCATTTGGAGCAACTTTTGACCCCCTCATAACTCAAAAACTATTCCACATAAACATGTCAAATTTGGCTCATATATTGAGACTAACGAGATACATATGTGCTCTAAATTTCATAAACACACTTCAAACAGTTATTTAGATATTAACGTCCGAAAATCGTCATTTTTATCACTGACTTACCTATAGATCAAAATTCTAACCCAGTTCCAGATGACCTAGAAAGTTCAAATTTGGCATACAGATAGGTAGTTAGGTAAATACAAAGGAAAAAATCAGAAACTTGAAAATTTTTAATTTAAAATTTTTTAATTTTTAATTTTTAATTTTTTAATTTTTAATTTTTTAATCAATTGATTTTATTATAATTTTGCAATTATTTTATCTATTATATTTAATTTTTCAATTTATTAATGAATTGCCTCTAATTTGATGTAATGTTGACTTATATAACCTTTCCCGTATCGCCGCTCCAGAAATACGACTAGCCGAATATGTGTCGATATTGTCGACCCGCGCGCAGCAACATACTTTTTTTTCTATCTATGTATGTAATTAATATTATTTTTTTTAAATATTACAATTAAAATAATTAAATAATTATTCTTACAAATTATGAATTATCCACCCAACACTAGAAACTACAGTCAATAAAATTATGATAATTAAAAATATACTCAAAAAGAGTTAAAATAATTGTATATTAATTTTACATATATTTTATACTCTGTATATACAACGGAAAATATTTTATAATAAATATTATTATTAATATTAGTAACTAAATTATATTATATAGTAATAAACTTTATTTATAGAATACGTCATGGCTAGGTTAGGTTAGGTTATAATAATTTACATACAAAAAGTAATGATATCCCACCAAAAACATATATGTAAAATGAGAGCCAAGTTCAATACTATAATATATGCCTTGGTTGTTGACTTCAACGACAAAAGAAGTGAGATCTAAATGGGTGCCAAGTTAGGATAATATATTGAAGCCTAAGGTCTGACTTGGCTACGAATTATATATTATAGCATTTGCAAGTTCTAAAGCTTTGAGTTCTTATTTTATTCTTCGGAAAATCATCTTCACTCTTCCATTACTGTTTTAGTAGGTACTTATAATAATAATTCGTATATTAAAAGTAGCCAAGTCACACCTTAGGCTTCAATATATTATCCTAACTTGGCACCCATTTAGATCTCACTTCTTTTGTCGTTGAAGTCAACAACCAAGGCATATATTATAGTATTGAACTTGGCTCTCATTTTACATATATGTTTTTGGTGGGATATATTATTCAAGACTAGGCATTATGTATAATATGGTATACCTACTTCCAAATTGGTATAATATAATAGGTACAATATGTTCGTATACCGTATACGGACACTACATTATAGGTAGGTAGTACTACCCTATGTGCAAAATCTAGTTGGTAGGTACTGCAGTAGTGTAGTTAGTCACTAAAAAAAAACAACTTACAAAACGCGTATAGCAGCGCAGTCTATCGATAAAAGTTATCAGCAGTCACGGACTCTTTGTGCACTGAGAATGGTTCTAAAAGCTGCCGAAA